CCCCAAAACCCCAAAACCCCAAAACCCCTTGTAGTTTATTTCACTCATGAATTCAATAAATATGAATTTGAAATATAAATCGGAGTGACTCTTTAAGATTAATATATCTTTAGATAATGTAATCAATCAAACAAGCATTCAGGACTAGTTAAGTTCTAAAGCAAAGAGCTCTTTTCGGCTCTCAAATGTAAATCAGTCAAATGACTGCTTCAAGAGTAAGGTTCATTAAGATAATAGCAAATGTTTAGAATTTCTCTAATAAGCAGGATGTCAAGCTGAACAAAAAATGGGAAGCATTAGCAGGAAAAGAACTAAAAGGAAAAAATGTCAAGGATGTACTAGTTCGTGAGACAAATGAGCTAATGCTTGTAAAGCCTCTATATACAAGTGAAGACTGGCAACCCACTCCAGGGGAGGCTGAAGTTCCAGGTAAATATTGTAGAATTTATTCAAATAGGTGTTTTCCCATTCAAGAGAGGACCTTACGCCTCTATGTACACTCATAGACCTTGGACTGTTAGACAGTATGCTGGGTTCAGTACTGTTGAGGAATCAAATGAGTTCTATAAGGCCAATCTTAAGGCTGGATAGCAAGGTCTTTCAGTGGCATTTGATTTAGCCACACATAGAGGATATGATTCTGATCATGAGAGAGTCGTAGGTGATGTAGGTATGGCTGGTGTCGCTATTGATTCTGTTGAGGATATGAAAATTCTCTTTGATTCAATCCCACTCAAGGATATTTCAGTATCAATGACAATGAATGGAGCTGTGTTGCCAGTTCTCGCTATGTATATTGTTGCAGCTCAAGAGTAAGGAGCTTCATTGGACTAATTATAAGGAACAATTTAAAACGATATTCTTAAGGAATTCATGGTCAGAAATACTTTCATCTATCCTCCTGAACCTTCAATGAGAATAATTTCAGATATCTTTGGTTATACTTCAAGATGCATGCCTAAGTTCAACTCAATCTCAATTTCAGGTTATCACATGCAAGAGGCTGGTGCTGATAGCAAATTGGAGCTTGCCTTCACTTTAGCTGATGGACTTGAGTATATCAGAGCTGCTGAAAAGGCAGGATTATCTGTTGACGATACAGCCCCCAGATTTTCTTTCTTCTTTGCAATGGGAATGAACTTTTATATGGAAATCGCTAAATTGAGAGCTGCCCGTATGCTTTGGGCAACACTTGTAAAAGAAAAGTTCCACCCAAAGAGCGAGAAGTCATGCCTCCTCAGAACTCATTGCCAAACTTCAGGATGGTCTCTTACCGAGCAAGACCCATACAACAACATTGTAAGAACTACAATTGAAGCTTTATCAGCTGTTTTTGGTGGCACATAGAGTCTCCACACTAACTCATTTGATGAGGCTATCGCTCTTCCAACAAAATTCTCATCTAGAGTTGCAAGAAATACCCAACTTATTATTTAAGAAGAGACAGGAATTACTCACGTTGCAGATCCATGGGCTGGAAGTTATATGATGGAAACCCTTACCAAGGAACTTGCTGAAGAAGCTATGAAGATTATTAATGAAGTTGAAGAGTTAGGTGGTATGACCAAGGCTATTGTCTCAGGCATGCCAAAGCTCAGAATTGAAGAGTCAGCTGCTAGAAGACAAGCTAAAATTGATTCAGGTGCTGAGACTATTGTTGGAGTTAATAAATACAGACTAGCTAAGGAGGAGACTAACTTTGATGTCTTAAAAATTAATAACAGCACTGTTAGAACTAAGTAAATTGAGAGAATTAACAAGATGAAAGCTTCAAGAGACTCTAAGGCTGTTGAAGAAATCCTAGGGAAATTAACAGAAGCTGCTAAATCAGGACAAGGAAATCTACTTGAATTATCAGTTGAAGCTGCTAGAAGAAGAGCTACTTTAGGAGAAATTTCAATGGCTCTTGAAGTAGTATATGGAAGACATGTACCTAAGGACAATATAGTAAGAGGTGCTTATTCAAAGGAGGCTATGACAAAGTCAGGAGAGCACGGAAAGTAAGAGTTTGAGCATGCTCTTGATAAAGTAAAGAGTTTTGCCAAGAGTGAGGGTCGTAACCCAAGAATTCTTGTTGCTAAAATGGGTCAAGATGGTCATGATCGTGGGGCTAAAGTTATTGCTAGTGGATTCGCTGATCTCGGCTTTGATGTTGATGTTGGAGGTCTTTTCCAAACCCCTGAGGAAGTCGCTCGTTAAGCTATTGATAATGATGTCCATGTAGTCGGTGTCTCTTCTCTAGCAGCTGGACATAATACCCTTGTCCCAGCTCTCAAGTAAGCCCTTAAGAAGCAAGGTGGTGATCATATCATTTTAATCTGTGGTGGAGTCATTCCTGCTCAAGACTACGATTTCTTACTTAAAAATGGTGCTTCAATTGTATTTGGTCCAGGCACCAAAGTCACAGATGCTGCAGTTAAGATTGTTGACCTTATTGAGAAGAATAAGAAATGAGAGATTCTCTTGTTTTAACACTATTTAAAATTAATTTAGGACATTCTAATCCAATCTCTGACTTAATATATTAAACCAACATTCAGGGGTTTTGGGGTTTTGGGGTTTTGGGGTTTTGGGG